TAGCAGTCCATGGTACTTTCAGCATTCTTCGCCAGCACCACAACTCAAAAGCATCAACTCTTCTTCGGTCTTCCTTATTCATTGTCCAGCTATATATATATTATGGGTACATAAATACAGATGTGGCTAAATATAAGGCAACTGCCAAATGATATTTTAAAACACATTTTTGAACAACTTTTATGGGTAGAAGTAAAATAATCAAATATTCATTTACCATAGTCAATTCATTAACTTAGGTTCCCAAACCAAAAAAAAACAAACTCACTGCCATGGAGTCGGATCTGACCCATAGCGACCCCTCCTTGGGTTTCTGAGGTAGTATCACTACGGAAGTAGATTGCCCAACCTTCCAAGGAGGGGCTAGTGGGTTTGAACTGCCAGCCTTCTGGTTAGCAGTCAAATGCCTTAGGCACTATGCCACCAGAGCTCCCAAGCATGTTTAAATCATAAATTTAATAAAATAGTACATTAAATGATAGAAACATAAATTCTTTCCATTCACACTTAATAAAACAACTTTATTGAAACTCTCCAAATTAATCTTAGACAGTGGTGTTTTGCCACTAGAGAGTCAGTTTTTCACTCCCTTTACAAAGTTTTTTCCCCCCTCTTTACACAGTTTTATAGAACCTGTCATCTTTATGACTATCTAAGGAACCTTGAGAAGCTCTGGTGGTGCAAAAGTTAGACAGTTTGAACCCACCAGCCACTCCATGGGAAGAAGATGGGGCAGTCTGCTTCCATAAAGATTTGCAATCTTAGAAACCCTATGGGGCAGCTCTATTCTATCCTATAGGGTTGCTGTGAGTCAGAATCAACACAATGGCAGTAGTTTGGGTTTTTGGGTTTTGAACTGGTGAGCAGAGATGAAATAGCAGTGCCCCACTCTATGACTGTGCCTCTTTGAAGTAGGTAGTGCCAACCTCATACATCAGGGTCCTGAAAGGGCTCACTATGCCTTTTCTGTCTCCCATTCCAAGACTTCACCCTGTATTTTTCCCATTCTGGTTACTGTGACAAATCATCAAAATTGTGAAAATTTGAGTATGTGCCTGTTTCATTTCATCAACTGTGATAGAATTGGTTTGAAGCCCAGCTCAGAGGGCAAGTAAGTGTTGTCAGTAAGTCAGATATTTGTAACCTGGGGACTAACTGTATACACAAACAGCTTAAAAAACAGTAAGAATATAAACAGTGTTTATTCATCTTCATCTTCAGAATAAAGAACAGTTCTAGCACCTTTCACCACTCATTTGTCAGTTTGTCATACTGTGGTGGCTTGCATGTTGCTGTAATGCTCATGATGGACAGATCTCAGCAGAACTTGCAGATTAAGACAGACTAGGAAGAAGGATAGGCCTTCAGCTTCTGAAAAGAATTGTCATTGAACACCTGATGAATAGACGTGAAACATTGTCTGATACAGTGCTGGAAGATGAGCCCCTCAGGTTAGAAGGCACTCAAAGGACCAGACAGTGTTTCATTCTGTTGTACATAGGATCGTTATGGGTCAGAGCCAACTTGATGGCACCTAACAATAGTAACTAGTACCTTTACATTCTTCTATATGCCTTTGATTGCTTCCCACTCCCTCCCACCACAATTTCCAAAAGTAAATGCTATACAGGTAGTCCCCAACTTATGATATATTAAAGTTAC